AGAGTATTGCTGTTTACAGCTGGTTAGTTTATGACTTTTTTTTCTTAGAAGGTTAAAACATTAATACTTTGGTTTTCCTCTGTTTCAGCCGTTTCTTGTACCCTGGGAAGAGATGGGCTTTTGCAGATCTCCTTGGAGATGGTGGTAGTTCCATGGAATCTAATTGCTCTGGCAGCAAGGATGGAAAATATGAATTGTTAACAGCAATAAACGATGCAATTGCAGAAGAAATTAAAGACCTCATGACAAAAAGTAAGGAAAAGAAAATTCTAGGCTTAATGTGCAGAACTGCAAATCACTTGCACTCTTCAAGGAGTTGTAGGAATTTCCCTTATTTTGATCATCTGAGTTTTATGTTTAAAGTAGATGAATTTATATGATTTGGGCCTCTGCATTAAGACTGTTTGCCAAAGATACAGCTTGCAGTATCTGTTATGGGGAGGTTCAGCAACTGGGTTTATGTACAAAAGTAACTTTGCAACTTTTGTTGTGTTGCAGCTGAGATGAGGGGTGAACAGACAGAAACTCTGTTAGCAGGATCACTTGCTAAAGCACTTTGTTGTATCCTTTTGGTCACAGAATCTTCAACACCTTTATGTATTTTTAAGACTATCTCTCATAATAATAAGTTTTATTCTTCCTGTTCTATAATAATACTCAAAACTGAAACATTTGCCTAATACCCGTGGGTGATGCTTATTAAAGTGTGTGTTGGTTAAGGTAGTGAGTGTGTGGTGTGGGTCCTGGAGTTATTCCCAAGAACAGAATGTAGGTTCCTTGATGCCAGCTAATGCAGATATCAATAAGATGAGCAAACAGGTAAAAGGTAACTCCTCTTCTCCTGTTTTGAATACTTACATAAATATTTGAATTGTATTAACAGATATAAATGCTTATGTATGCACAAACAAATATGCATGTGTTTTGATACACCCCCATTTCCAAAATTGGCAGGAATAGGTATAGGTTTATCCTGATCATTTGAAGTTGCCCAGTTTAAACTAGGTCTGGGTGACGATTAGAAGTAAAGCACTGGATCATTAGTCTGTATTCTTACTCTGATTTTCTGTTGCAAGTAAAACAAAACTGAAACCAGATTCTCCTGAGAACAACTGGAGGTTGAGAAGAACTTTTTGAAAGTCACAAAATGCACAAATCCTCTTGAAAAGGGACCACCTGCAGAGCTGTGATCACAGATGGGTTTCTTACTCAGTTTTGGTCTTCTTCTTGTCACTTCTATGATCAGGAAAGTGAGTTGGTAGTGAACAGCTGTGAACATTTATTTCCTGATCAACATCTAACTGCTCCTGGACAATAAATGGAGCAGGTCTGCTTTTGTAACGAGTCTGCCATAGTCCAGGTGCTTGTCACTGGGACTGTAAAACTGCTTTATGTGCCTGTTTTAACTGAGGTGTTAGAGCTGACATCTTAGAGGTTACATATCAAACTGAGATGTTAGATCCTACAGAAATAAAAGGGTAAACAACAGGCAATAGAAGCAATGTCCTCACGCGTTTCTTTCTCTTTTTGATACTTAGCCAATCAAGAAATGAAATCAAGGATTTTGGTAAGAACTTTTGCTGTCAGTTTTCTTTTAGTTGTGAAATTCAGTGATATTATGTCGCCTGACAAGTTTAAATTGTTTTATTTAGGTCATAAAAGCAGCAGAAGACAGTGCATTGCAATATATGAATTTCATGAATGTGATCTTTGCAGCACAGAAACAGGTGAAGCTGGTGTTTTTTTCATATATATTATATTCCATTAATGTGCAAAGATGACAAAATTTATTTTATTTGTGATCGTGGTCTGATCAAGCAAGAGAACTGCCCTATGGCTGTGGTGATCCTGCTGTAAAAGCACGTGCATTCATATATGGAGTGCATTTGTAGTGGAAATGGGTCATGACAGCACTGCTGGGGAGGTCACACTGCTCCTCACTGAATTTGCTTTTCATGTGTTTCACTTCTTTTCTTGCAGAGTGTTTTGATTGATGCCTGTATCTTGGACTCTGATTCGGGTCTTCTACAACAGGTACAGACTTCCTACTCTTATTTGCTGTTTATATTTATTCAGAGACACTTGATGCTAGACAGTTTGACATGTTCTTAAGCTCTTCTCTTTCCTGTTTCAAGAGTGGGTGTGGAAATCTGTTCAGTGGCTCTGACAGTTCCAGCATACAGGCCTTCTGCAGTATGTGGATATTGAACATATCCTGTTAATCTCTTAAAATATAATGATCTGATCATGCTCTCTGCTTTCCAGGCTTGTGACATTACAGGTGGCATATATTTGAAAGTGCCCCACATGCCATCCCTCCTGCAGTATTTGTTGGTGAGTCATTTAAAAAAAATGCTTTGGTGTTTTTCTTGTCAGATGTGAGACCTGCAACAGAGCAGCACCATTCCAATTTGCAAAATATTTCTTCTCTGTTCCTGCAGTGGGTATTTCTGCCTGATCAGGAGCAAAGATCACAGCTTGTCCTTCCACCTCCTATACATGTTGACTACAGAGCTGCGTGCTTCTGTCATCGAAACCTCATTGAAATTGGTTATGTGTGCTCTGTGTGCTTGTCAAGTAAGTTTAGAAATATGTAAGGGTGATTTCTTACATTCAAGTGAACTGTTTTAGTGAAAGAAAATTCTTTTGTTTTCCAGTATTCTGCAACTTCAGTCCTATTTGTAGTACATGCGAGTAAGTGTTTTTCTTCTTGTTTCAAGGGTGGGTGTGGAAATAGGCTCAGTGTATCTGACAGTTCCTTTTTATGTGTTTTTTTTTCAGGACTGCTTTCAAAATATCATTGCCACCTGTCATGAAAGCTAAGAAGAAGAAATTAAAGTTAGCTGTGTGATGACATCATGTAAATACATCGCTACCTCCTCTAGTAATTCCATGAAATGGAACATACTTGAAAAATTAATGGCACTTTTTATTGGATATGAAAGACAACTATGTGCAGTGTTACCACTTGTTTCTTAAGGGAAAATATTTAAATTGTATGTCTTCTACACTGCCCTGTAATTAAGAAGTCACTGTATTACCATGTAACCTGTGCTGGTTTAAATCCTAATTTGTAACTGTGAGAGGAACCAGAAGTTACAGCCTGTTAAGAGAGACACAGTGTGAAGCTGAAGGTGCTAATGGCCATTGAAGTTTCAAACCTCCAAGTTATTTTCAAAGACAAGAAAGCTCTGATTCTTTTTGTATGTTGGTGCAGAGGTAAGAGTGACCATTTGTAGTATATAGGATCAGAATTTAGTACTGTTATTCAGGGACTTCTTGCTAGCTCTTGCTAGCAATTTTTGGGCAGGAACAGCAACAGTTTCAAAATAAATGAGCCAACATTTTCAAGATGGCTCAGAACCCACTTTTTTTTTAAAAGCTAATTACACTGCATGTTCACTCACATGTATGCATAGTCCTTTGACTGTACTGTCTTTGTGATATTTTTTTCAGTTGATGATCTCTTCAGTTATGAATAAAAAGGCCCCCTTTTTATTTAAAATAACTTCAATAAGTGCAGACTAGCTGGTTAGTCTGTAATGTTTTCCATTAAAACTGGCAAGGAAAAAATTGAATCCTATGTAATACAGCAGGAACACTTTATTTTAGTATTACATCTGGCACTTGACAAGAGTGAAGGCTTTTGGATTGGTGTTTTTTATGGCAGAATATGAGAGGAATGCTGTGTACTTATGAATGTGGCTTTCGTTTAAATTAACAAATACTCTCTCACATTTAAAAAGTAACTGATGTTCTCCTGAAAGGACTACAGAGTAACTGTTTCCTACATAGGAAAGGACTTTTTTTTTTACTTGTGTTGGGTTTTTGCCCATGTAACAGGTACAGTGTCAGTCTTTACTGGCTTGTTTGATTGCCAAAAGCCATTTTGTTTGAAAGCTGTATTTATAATTTGTATAAAAAGTTTGTAATAAAACCTACTCTTTTTCAAGTGTGGTTAGATATTTGCTATAATAAGAGCTATTTTTAAGGGCGAGCCACACAACCTTCTTGCACTCTTATTGTGTGAGAGTGCAACCGTCTGACCTGGCTCTGGGCGGACGCGCTGGGTGAGGAGTGGGGTGGAAGTTGAGGGGCAGACAGCTCCGGGTTGATG